TTGACGTATTCAATGATTTCATCCGGGGTCATGAAGCAACTTGGTGTCTCTTAATGAGACGAAGACGTGTATCTGAATTAAGTACTTGCACGCAATGAACACTTAACTACGATACTTAATGTTTCCGTTTCTCAAAGGAAAATAATACTAAGTCGTTCAGTTTAAAGAACAATTTTAGATTGATAGACATAAAACTAGGAATCTGGTTTACGTAATTTTACAGACTTGGAAAACCTTTATTGCTAACACGAGGCTAATAAAACTTCTGCGACCTTCATTTAATACGCAACGCAAAATTTGCTAAACGGATGAAAATTCTAAGTTAGAATTATTTAAGAAATATAGTAAACTGTTATTAGAGTTAGTTTTATTACGTAAACAAAAATAATTGCGAATATTTCATTGATACTTCATTTTCGAATGCGATATTTAATTCGATGAATATTTTTTGAATACATTCCTAATTCAGAATGAATTAAATTTAGTTAAAATACTTTATTTTTGTAGGGTAATTGTGAAATATGGTATTTTTTACTTATTAGTAATTGAAGTCAAAAATTCAGATGAAATAAGTAAGAAATGAGTATATTAATCAAGATTTAATATTTTGTTGGATATATCATAAGTAGATATACAGGGTGTCTCATAAATAGTGTAGGTCCCTGAAATGGGTAGGTGACGTGATTCTGAATAAGATTTCCCTTTGCAAAAATGGGGTTTGAAGCTTCGTTTTTGAATTATTAAGGAAAAACGCGGGCCAATCAGAGCGTGAGGACTACGCGCGCTCAACCACTAGGCTCGAAGCTGTCGCTCTCGCTTCTGGGCGCGCATAATCCTCGCGCTCTGATTGGTCCGCGTTTTTCCTTAATATTTCAAAAACCAAGCTTCAAACCCCACTTTTGCAAAGGGAAATCTTATTCAGAATCTCGTCAGCCACCATTTCAGAGACCTATACAAATCGTAAGATATCCTGTATAATCAAATTAAATTGCTAAGGTTCAAAACTGCAGTTGCCTCGCAATTTCTTTTTAAATAATTATTATTCATAATTATGATATTTCACATCTAATATAATAGTGTCGATAAATAAATAATATTAATAATAATTAACATTAATTGTGAACAAAATTGATATATCCAATGTATTCAAAGTCACTGCAATTCTGTTTTTATGATATAAAATTATTAAATTTCTTTATAATTAAAATTGTTAAATTTCAAATCCTTCATCATTCAGTAATTCTATCTTATTTAAACAATTGTTTAATTCAAGATTACATACACGTGTTGGAAGTTTTTACTAACATATAAACAAATATTTTTTACTATTTTTACTCTTGCATAAACGAATATTTTTTACCATTTTTACTTTTATATAAGGGATTACTTTCTACTATTTTTATTGACATATAAACGAATATTTTTTACCATTTTCATTTGCATATAAACAAATACTTCTCACGATTTTCACCGATATATGAACGAATAAAAAATTCACATAAATTTTCTTCGATTCATAAAAAATTACAGAAATTAACATCTGCAGCGAAATCAATATCCCAGCATACGCGATTCCGCGAACCCGATTTATCGAGTCACATGTGGCATAATTCGACACGTGCGTGACTCGCACGAGGGGTTAAAATACCCCAGATATATCTTGCACAATTCGATGTATCATTCGCAGAAAGTTTGTCGGTCGTCGAAATAAAGAACAGTCCGAGCCGAGTGACGCAGGTTCGAGAAATGCTACGCAAAAGTGATCGACGTGCAGAGACACGCTCGTGTCCTTCCCTTTTTCTTGTTCTTTTGTTAAACAAACACCGGTGGCCACGAATTTTACTCATGAATGAGCCTCGAATTTCCCGTGGGCAGGGAAAGACTCGTAGAGGGGGCACGTCGTGTTTTAACCGGCTGAACAAGGCCGGTGAACAGGCGTCCGCAGACATCAGTTCTTCATCGTTGTTCATCCCCAACAGTTTCGTGTTTTTGCGGAACTTCAACGAAGAGTATTACGACGGAGAATAGTAAACTGAAAATAGTTCTTCAGTTCCAGTAATTGAGAAATTTTATCGAGTTTGAGGAGAAAACGCGTTCGATACCGGGTGACGGGTGCAGTGCTTGCAGCCTGTATGAAATACGTAATTTTACGCGTTGAACAAAAAATATTACAACCGAAAACAGTAAATTGGAAATATTTCATCGATTCCTGTAAATGGGAAATTTTATCGAGTTTGAGTAGAAATTATCGCGTTCGATGCCGGGTGTCGGGTGCAGTGGTTGCAACCTTCATGAAATGTGTAATATTGCACAGTTAGACCCGAGAGTGTCAACGTGAAATATTGAGAAATAATTTATTACAATACCAGTAAAGTTTAAAAGAGAGAGAAAATTTTTATTGAAATTGAAGATTTCTTTTGGAAATTTGGAAAATTTTAATTGGAATTGAAACTTTGAATAAATACTTCTGTTTTGATATTACATCATAAGATTACACTACAATATTGATTATTGTATTTTAAGAGCTATTTTCGTCAAGTTTACTCCAAAGAATTGTGAATAACTATTAAGAACTTTAGAATTGAGAACAAGTAACTGTTGGAGTTAACAATAATACAAGAATAAAAGACTGTATTGTACTTTTGGTTACTGGCGGGCATTTTATAAATATCTAGTGCCTTGTGGACAGTATTGCGTTGTTCTATTGTCTTTTACTTTGGAAATATCGTTTGAACACTTCGCTGATAGAATGTCTTTGATGTGGATGAGTTACATGAAGAATAGAACCAAGAAGAAGCACGTCCGTAGGCGAAGAGTAAGTGATTGAATTTTTGCTATTTTCTATTTTTGTTTGGTTTTACTTGTGGGATTCTGTGGGTTTAAAAATTGGAAAATTTGGAGATTTGGAAATTTGGGGATTTGATAGGAACTTTAAAATTTTAAGGATTTGGAAATTTTGGGAACTAAAAACTTTGGGAATTTTATAAATTTGTGAAACCTTGGAAATTTTGTGAATTTTGAGAATATTTGGGATTTTGGAGAATTTGTAAAATTTTGTAAATTTGGAGAATTTTGTGAAATTTGAAAATTTTGTGGAATTAGAGAATTTTTACAATTTTGAAGATTTTGAGAAATTTGTGAATTTTGTGGAATTTGAGAATTTTGTGAATTTTGTGAATTTTGTGAATTTTGAGAATTTTATGAAATTTGAAGACCTTGACATTTTTTCGAATTTTGAGAATTTTATGAAATTTGTGAATTTTTAGAAGTTTGAGAACCTTATAAATTTTACAAATTTTGCAAATTTATGATTATAAAAAAATGTGTCATTTGGAAATATATAAAAACCATAATTTAAGTGTCTGAAAAATCCATAAATCCATAAGTAAGTTCGAATATCAGAAAACATCATCTGTTAAGACCACCTATAAAGATACGAAAGAAAATTGCACAAAGTCCGTAATAGAATTAACAAAATTGATACAGTGAAAAATAATGGCGTCATAAAAGCATCCATAAAATTAAATCTGAAAATGTCCGAGAGATTTAACATGTCTAACTGCAAAGCGTCCATTCTATTACGCCAATCAGCTTGTTAAAATCCTTTCATCCTCTTTTTTCCACTCCATGTGTGGAGTCGTTCGAAGGGGCATCTTCCTTGAATCACTTCAAAGAAACAGAAATATGAATAAGTGAAACCCCTTCACCGAACGAAGATAAAAGACAAAGAGACATTCTCGCCCACATGACACTCGTTGGCTCGCTTCATTGCACAAATTTTTCTCGTTAACCCCGGCTTTTAACAGATCTGTTCTGCTGCAGCCCAACGAGCATACGGCAGTTTGAGTTATTTCCAGCAATCCATTAATTCTCGTCGTGAAACGAAATGAAAATCCAAGGCATCATCTTGGACGTGTCTGGCTTGCAATTCCAAAAGAGAAACGGATGTGTACCCTTACTTCCGTTTTTGTACGTGTCCTTGGCGAAATTATTTTAGTTGGTTCGATACTTCTCTTTTTTGTGTTTATGAGAAGAGTAAACAGGTGTGGCTCGACTTAGAATTTATAAATATCCGTTAGAAAAACAATATACAACTCTAGCATGTCTGTTCTCTGATTGCCTTCTTCCTTTTTTTATTTTTACCATTGTATACATTTTTCATAGGGTAGAAATTTTTAAATCTATTGGAATAAATTTAAAAATTAAAATTAGTGTTTTGTTGTATTTGTGAATAATTTCTGTTATAATTAGTGATTTAATTGTACAATTGGTAAATGTGTGTTCATGTGTCTGACTATGCATGACCATTTTCACTGGAAGTAGTCAGTGTGTTAATAGAGTTCGATGATAGATAATTTGTGTTCCGATATGAAGCAACAAGTGCTTTTTCTTCACCTGATAATGAGGTGTTAGTAGTAGTATTACAGTTGAGCCTATGAAACAAGTGGATCATATGTGTTTCTTATGTAATTCGGGAGAACTGTATGAAACGATTAACGATAGATGTCCCCATATCACCAGACTTGTTACATAACGCATACGTGATACACATTAAGAATATTTCCGCAGAAAGTAAAAGTATTTTTTGATCTATAGAAGTTTCTTTCCTGCACGTGGAAACGTAATTTTGTACTTATGTTAGTATAATTGTGTTAATACTTCTTCTAATTATTACATTTGTTATATTGTTATTCATATTAATTGTATTATGTTGATACTTATGTTAGCTTATATTAAAAATACTATTTTATGTTATTAGAATTAGTTGTGTCATGTTAATGTTAGTATTTATATTAATATTATATGTTAGTACTTATATTAATTATATTAATATTGTTATACTGTATCAGTAATTTAGCACATGCAGAAAACAACTATAAATTATTTTTCATCTACAAGAATTCAAATATATTTTCCTGAAATATACAAAAATTAGACCAACATAGAACATGTTATTGTTAACTATATTATCATTTTACTTAAATTTATATTCGTTACAGATGAGAGACGATCGAAGGACATCAATGGAAGGCGAGAGACTTAGCAATAACAGCGGGGGCATAATCGACGGAAACGGAAGTCGCCCTCTTTCGCAAACCTCCAGCGAAATGGACACCCTTGGTCCGTTGCAACCAGTCAAACATCGTGAAAAGGCAAAACTGCAGGTACGTTTAGATTGACTGGGGCTAAGTTATTAGCTTAGTTATAATTAATGTTGTAATTATTAAAGTTATAATTAATTCATGAATTCTTACAGAGGCCACTTACGAGATACCTTCCCATCAAGTCGGAGTCCCTGGACCTGAGGCATCATATTGAGACTGCCGGCCATCATTTACCCCTGATACATGATGTCACCGTGGACACGACAAGTTGCAGTGGTTACCTGTCGAAGATGAGCAAGAAATTCCATCATTGGAATAAACGGTGGTTCGTGTTTGACAGAAAGAGGAAGACCTTGTCATATTACAGCGACAGCTCGTCCAGAAAACCTCGTGGAGTGATTTACTTCCAGGTATACTAACCATGGACGTAGCCAGGTTATTTAACTGAATATTCAAAATGTTAATACAAAGTGTAGTTTAATTCTTTTCCTTTAGAAAAGCAATATGTAATTTTTTCCTATAGAGTACTAGAAAGACCATTTTTTCTACAGGAGGAGCAAGTTCCTTCTTCCTTTAGTTACATTAATAAAGCTAGCAGTTATTAGAAACTTAAAAAATTAAAAATTAATTTTGTTGTTGTTCAGGCAATTGAAGAAGTGTACGTGGATCACATGAACACCGTAAGATCACCACAACCATCGCTGACTTTTATCATCAAAACGTCGTCCCGGTTGTACCATTTAATGGCACCAAGTCCAGAGGCTATGCGAGTTTGGGTGGATGTTGTGTTCACTGGTGCTGAGGGGTATCATGAATTTGATCATGGTATTTGATGAGCTGACCATTTATAGATTTATGGTCAAGGTCCGTTTTTATTTGAAGATTACCATGAAATAATGGTGTCTTCGCTGGTAGCCTGCAGGTTCACAAAGCTTTGTGTGATCCTTTGAGAATGAGATTTGGTGATGAGTCCAAATGCTTGGAATTAAATTTGACTTGTGAAGAATGTTGATCATTGTATTGGTGCTAGATTGCTTATTTAGGCAGCTGTACATGGATTAAAATTGAAGCAGTGGTAGTATTGTATGGGCAAAAATAAGAGTAATGAAGAATGAATGAAATTATAAGCTCAGAATTTATAATGGAAAAATAAGACTTCAATCGTGTGTGCCAAAATGAGGGCATTAATGATACATTACTGAAAAGTATTATTCATTTGAATGCGGGCTAATTACAGTTTCATTCTATTCAAATAGAAAGGATGAATTTTATAGAATTACCGTTAAATTTTGTAGACATTTTTAATCTAGTCTTCCAGCATAAACACCATGAAGGATACGAGATGATGTCCTAATCTTTGAAAAAGAAAATCTTCAACAGTAGTTTGCGTGTTCTGGTATGAACCAAAAATCCAGTCCTTAAGAAGCTGTAAATACATCTCATTTTACATTTTACATTTACACTCTAACACTTTTAATAAATATCTCTGATATTACATTAAGTCAAGGATTATATGAAATGAAATCTTCCATATCTGTTTATACATCCAAACAAATCTTTTCATTCATGTATGGTTTTTGTGACTCCAGTATCTACATATTGTTAAATATATCATCATATTAATTTTCATTCTTGATACATAAACTATAAGTATTCTCTAACATGTCAAATGATAATAGAAATTAAAGAAAAATTTTTAGAATCTGGTGTAATGTTTTTAAAACATGTTCCCCTGTAAAGGTTTTAAAAAACTGTTTAAATGAAAGAACACTTATAGTTAATGTACCATTAATATCATAATTTTATAACGTAGCTACAACCATGTAAATATTTACATATAAGGAAGTCATTATTAATTGAAATACTTCATACCTGTTTATGATACTTTTTACTTCATATAGCAGTCAGAATTTTATTATATATTCATTTTAATCATAACTGTATATGATTGGATAAATCAGTGAAAAATATACTATTAACTTAAAATAAATTATGAATCATATTACACACTGTGGCATATTTTTGGACATATTTACAAACAGTATAAAAACGCTCATTATTAATGAATCATTTCCCCTCTTTATGAATGTATAAATACCTGAGTATTTTAAAAAATCATATCCTGTATAATAAAATGAAGATACATGCATATAAGTATGGCACTTGTTATTAATGTCTCAAAGTACCTGCTCTTCCTTTGTAGTATTATAGTTTGTATTGAAACACTAAATTTTAACGTAAATTCATAAATTTGAGAACTTGAGAATATAGATGTATATCACTTTACCGACCATCTCTTAATTAATATCTGAAGGTAAAACAGATGGCATTAGTGTCACTCGTGACTTTTGATTGTGAACATAGTTACGATAAAACAAATCGTTTATATGCGCACTATATTTGTTAAAATGATTCATAATAAATGTAGACAAGGCTTTTATCCTTCAAGTAATATAAAAAGATTTGAAGTGCCTGAAAACAAAGTATCATGGAGTGTTGACTACCCGGAATATACACCAGTCGAATACACTGCACCAGCTATTAAAGGAAAATCTTGGGCGGATCCAGCAATCGGCGAAAATTCATTCGAACCAAAATGGAACTCCATCGATGGTAACAAAATGTATTTAAATGTTACAGAACATTGAAATGAAATTGACATTCACCTAACCTTAAAGCTTGTCAGTTTTATACATGTACAAATTAATTTCCAACAGAAAATATAAACCGCAAAAGTTTTACGGGTGACTATGTTATAACCAAGGATGGATATCCTTTGAACCCTATTGGTCGTACTGGTATTATTGGACGTGGACTCTTAGGACGATGGGGACCAAATCATGCAGCAGATCCAATTGTAACTCGTTGGAAACGAAATACTACAGGAGCAACAGTAATAGACAAAAATACACAGAAACCAGTTCTACAGTTTGTTGCAATACAAAGACGAGATTCAGGAGAATGGGCCATACCTGGTGGAATGGTTGACCCTGGAGAAACTATATCAGCAACTTTAAAAAGAGAGTTTATGGAAGAGGCCATGAATTCGTTGGAAAAAAGTCAAGAAGAAAAAGCAGAGATGGAAAAATCTATCAACGAATTTTTTGAAAAGGGAGAAGAGATGTATAAAGGATATGTTGATGATCCTAGAAATACAGATAATGCTTGGATGGAAACAGTAGCATTAAACTTTCATGATGATGATAATAGTGTTTTGGGTAAAATTACATTGATGGCTGGGGATGATGCACGTAATGTGAAATGGATGGATATAAATAATACATTAAATTTATATGCTAACCACAGCGAATTTATTCGAAAAACGGTACAAAAACGTGATGCACATTGGTAAAATTAAACGCACTGGTTCATTATTGAAGAAAGAAAATGTATAAAGCTATTTGTTTAATAAGTTTTTATTTTTATAAAAGATGAATCAAACACGTATTTAAATTAAATATGAGAAGTAAAATGCTTCATAAAAAAACGATATTGTATAAAAAACAAACAATTAATATTTTAGTACATTACATAAAATGGTGTTAATGATCTATTTTATCATAAATGTACATATGTATATGTAATCATCACAGATAATAGTATAGATTATTTTATAGTACTAAGTCACTATTTAAAATATGATACTTCAGTACCAAATAACATGCGTTATTTTAAGGATAATGATAAGTCAAAAGTATGAGATAATGGTCTCAGAAAATGTGGATTTTTACAATATAAATGAAACTTAAATTTCCCTTGACCATACAAACAACGTATTTTTATACTTATGTTCTATGCACAAACAATATTTTACTAAATAAATATTTTTGTAAAAATACTGTATATTCATGAATAGATATTAGTATATAATTAATAGTAATAAAAGTGAGAATACGAAATATAATTATTTTTATTTTAGATGTTTCATAATTCATAATAATATAATTGACACAAGCCTTATAAAAAAATCCATTTTACAGAGATTTTTATACATATATAACAAAAATCGTATTTTCACTTTCAACGATTGTACTACTTCTTAATATGGCACTCTACAATTATTTTACTCTGCTGGAACAGCCAAAATATCTGGCTCTTTCAACCCAAGCATATCTAAAAATAATTCAGTTGAGTTCCTAGATCCTACTACAGCCTGTTCATGACCAGAATTTTTTAAAAATATTTCTTCAGACTGTGTACTAAACGCATTACTATAATTACTCAATTTTTTAAGAATATTATTTACATTCTTGTTTTGCAAATACTTTACAGTATTTTCACATCTTTTTGGAACCAATGTATCATTTTCATGTTCCTTTGATTGATAATAACGTTTCTCTAAATCTAATGCATATTGAGCTTGTGTTTGTCCTAATTTTGCAGCTTTAATGAAATAACTGCGAGCCCTATCAATATCTACTGAAAAACCACCTTTTCCTTGAGCATAAAAAACTCCTAAATTATATGTAGCATCTGCATGACCTTGCTCTGCTGCATCATTGTAACATTTTGCAGCCTGAAGGAATAAATATTTAATTAGATTTTATTTAACTATATCAGATACAGATTTTGCATACTATTAAACGATATCATACCTTTGCGTGATCAACCAATGTTCCAAGGCCTAATTCATAACATAAACCTAAATTAAACATACTAGCAGAAGATGATAGACTTGCACCACTGGTAAAGTGTTTTATGGCATCCTTATAACGTCTTTCTTCTAAAGCTTTCAGACCATACTGAAGCTCAAATTCTGCCATAGTTAATTTGTGAGTATTAGCAAATTCGTCTGTAGCTTCTTTTAGGGCCTACAGATTTACAAAAAAAAAATAAATGGTAAAGAAAATAATACAAATTCATTATTACATTATTGATTCTAGAATCAAAATAATACTTTCATTTTTTACTTTCTCGGCATGTTGCATACAAAATTTGAATGCAGATCTTATCCAAATACTTACTTTAATAATTTATTATGTTCTGTTGTATGTTTCGAATTTAAATAAGTACAAATATGTGAGTTTAGGACAGGAAATCAAATTTTAAAAAATAAACTTGTTTATCTTGTTTCAAACTTTTACATGATATATTGTACAGTAATTATTTACAATTAAATATTTGAACAAGGCTATATATTACAATGATAATTATTTAAACAATGGTTACAATTGTTTCCATGTAATAAGTAAATATTTAAATATATACTTATTTCAAAAAAAAAAAACAATTAAAGTGTTACTGAACGTGATGAAATGATTAAGAAGTATAGCCTTTGACCCTGATAAACTATCATAAATGAATTTCACAAATTTGTGAATTGCACAATGGCTTGTAACTGAGTATTTACCTACATCATCAATAATAATAATAATGTGATGATTAAAGTGATGGATTCTCAATTATAGCCTTTAAGAGTTAATATTTCCTAGTACATTTATTCCCAAAATGTCTAGTATTACATACTATAATGTCTGCAGCACAACATTCTCACCTCTTCAATGGTGATAGGCCCAAATGGTTTATCAGCTTTCCAGTTTGGATCACTGTTTTCTTGTGCATATATTTTACTGTTGCCAACACAGTTAATTACTGGCAAAATATTTGTAGGCTTAAAATTTAATACTTGGCCAAACAAGTAAGATATACGTGCTTCGGGAAGTTGAGATAGTTTATTCTTTAGAAGATCAGGTTTCTCATTTTCAAATAGTCTTCTTCGAAGACATAATGACTGGCAAACCACCCATCCAACAGCCAATATACTGGACTATTAAAAAATAATTTAACATTATATAATTGAAAAAATGAAGTTAACTTCATTATTAACTCGTAACTGATATGGTAATAAGTAATAAGTCATCTTACACAGGTACCACATAATGCTCAAAACTTTATACAGTGGATCACAAAAATTGTAACTTACAGAAACCTTAAATAATTTTTAAACCTAAAAATTTTCTTTATATTTTCAAACAGAAAAGTTTTAAAAGGAAGCCTTTAATTTTTCGCTGCTTAAGACAATTGTAATTTTTTTGGAGCGTAAACATGTTAATACTAAACCAATCACTCCATTTAAAAGAATAAAATTGTTTAAAGAAGTTACTCTGCCTTTGAAGGAATGTTTTTGTGACCACTTGTAGTTAAGTTGAAAAGAAGAAAAAGCAATATTGTAGATTACACTTATTTTGGTTTTTAAAAATTGGCAATGCTATAATTTTTAAAAAGATTAATGCTGGAATTTAATAGACCTCACTGTACCACTTACGAGTTAATATTGTTAAAAAATTATGCTCACAAACGTAGATTTTTAGTTTAAATTAAGTATTAATCCTTTTTTCAAAATTTAAACATCTTCAAATTATAAATTAAAATTTTTTTCACGTTTAAATTATAAATAATATCAAGTGTGAAAGATGATAAATAGAAACAAAAAGAACAATAAGAGGGATAAACAAAACGACGCAATTTACCCATCCTATGGCTTCCGTCCAGTTGTGTTTTGTGTAGTTGGAATCGTAATCTTTATCTTTGGTTCCGCCAGTTTTTGAAGATCCGCAGAATTCTTTACTAAAAGCTGAAAAGCTTGGTGCAAGGAACTTGTGATTACATGTCAAACTAGCTTTAACCTCATTTTTCGTGTTGGGTTCCTGGGACGTTTGCGAATAAACATTTGTACGACATGCACGACGCTCCAACGTTTCACGAATACCACGACTCACAAATTTCCACATGTTGATTGTTGTAACATAGAAAATGTTAAAATTTGAAAAAAAAAGTGTTTAATTTCACTGTAATCTTTATTGTCACCTACGCGCGCCTCCACCGCACAAGGAAGAGCGGCGGACTGGAAAGTCGACAATCAGATTCTAGAAACTTTCGATGAACTGCGCATAACTGTATCACATTTTACTAAAATTCAGTTGATCCTTTATTAGCTAAGGTCGATTATGAATAAAGTAATACAAATCATTTTATGTCACTTTACGTTTATTTCAAGATTAAGTTAATTATAAATATTCGTTGTTTATATTTCAAAGATAACCACTGGAAACGAAAAAAATGTAATAAAAAAATGTTCAAAAAGTAAAAATATATTATTATAATTTCCTGACAGTATTACAAATTGTAATAAGAGGATTAAGGCATATTTTTACAATTCTATTTTTATATTACATATCTAGTAATAACCCCATTGATAATACATTTTAAAATTAAAGTTACATAATATGGTAAACATACATTGTCACAAATTAAGCACATTATGAATACATACAAATCTTAAATAGAACAAATAGATCTTGAATGCAATATATAACGTATTTTGTATGTAACATATTTATTTTCTTACAAATTTTTGTTATTAAATTTATCAACAAGTGAAACTTTTTAACGAATTTGTATGTTTGTTATATTTCTGAGTGCAGTTTCAATATTTGCATTTTTGCATTTAAAAACTAAATGCTTCATAAATATTTGCCCCAAGTGTTTTAAGTTCATTATTTGTTACAAGACGTTGTAGTAAATCTGTTTGGAAATCTTTAGATGTTGGCTTGTCTGGTACTTGCCCATTTACAATGGGTATTAGTTTGGCCATTGGCATTGATATTTTATTAATATTTACAAATGTACTCGAATCATAGTTCGCACTTATACTATTTTTCTCTGTCCAACTATTATGGTTTTGGCTTGAAGTTCCAGGTACTGAAAACCCATTTTGGACTGTTTTACCATTTTCCACTGTAGGAGTTCCAACAAAGAATGCAGAGATGTGGTCCACTAACAAACTGAATCCACTTCTGATATTACTTTGAGTTAAATTTTGTACTTCTTCACTTTCTAAAAGATCCAGGGTTTCAGTGATTAGTTTTGATAACATGGGTTCTTGATCATCCTCACAATTTAGTAGTAACATATACTCAGCAAGATTTTTTATAGGATCCTTTGAATTATCAGCAGATATAGAAGATGTTATAGCCCAATATATCTCTTCTATATCTCTCAAAGTTAGTTCATCCTTTAATGATATTGAGGCTGTAATTTCAGCAACTTTGTCTTTTATGAGCATGCTTAATTTTTTAATTCCATCATATATGAAGTGACGTGAAAGTGACAAATATTTTGTCCGTACAATGTTCTCTGTAGTTATGCCATTAGAATTCTGAATATCCTTATATACATGACCGCCCATAACATTAAACTGGATTCTGATCAAAGTAGCTAACATAGCATATGAATATATCACTACAGCAGATCTAGCAATTGCTAAAACTTTCAGCTCATTCCAACATGCTACTTTATCAGGACAACCGCTCCTAAGTTTATTTACAATAGTTTCTGTATCCAAAACTTGTATTATAGAGTCTCTTAAAGTTGCTGTAAGAGACATTATCATCTGACTACATGTCCTTTCTGTACATTCAAAATAGTGTCGTCGCTTTGTTTTATCCAGCATTTCTTTTATCTCTTTCTCTTGCCATTCTCGTAGTTTACGTGTGGTGTATCTTATGATTACAATGCTGCCAAAAACAATACCACCAAATATAAACTTTCGTCTATGACGACTTACAAATCCACGAATTCTTGAGAACATGTTGTTTTAAATAAATAATATATATATGAATACAAGAATACTACATAATCTATTGATGAATAATGATGTAAGGCTTAATTGCAATGCACTCGTGATTAATTAATCTGATTACTGCAGAGTATCGTCTTTGGTACTAGATAAGGCTATATTTGCCAATCTGTAGGCAATAAAGTTACTTATATCGATAAATCTTTCCACACAATTAACGAGGCAATTTTTAGTACCGTAGTCCAAGGAATGGCCTGGTGTTTGAACACAGACTTCCCAACAAACATCAGTTAATTTGTGTCCCAATTTCTGAAAACAAACAGTTACATTTCAAATTTTATGTAAAATATGTGTTTACAGTCAATTAAAGAAAGAAATTTATTAAAAAAACAATTAATTTAATTATGTACATATAAAACGGTTAATTTACATTCTGGAATAATGTAAAATGTTAAATATCATTTCCATATTATTAAACAAAATCTTCACAACACAACTTCATACTTACAAGCAAAATGTAATAGGATTATGTAAAATGTTTAAACTAATTAGTATTCTCTTCGATTTGTAATGTTCGATAAAAAAACATACAACTAGTAAAAAAGATGTTATTCATGAGCTACTTACTACTTGCACAAAAGCTTCAAACGAATTTAAAAAACTATCATTTGCAACCTAACCTGAAACTGGTGACTTTTACTTTCTCTCTCTAGAAAAGCTTGTAACTGATCGTCCACACCTTTTGACTTTTGCTCCGCCATAAAACTCATTCTTTAATTCCAACTGTACTTTTAACACTGAAACACTGATGAGACATTGACCGGGTGCGCATTTACCAGGAGCGTACGCAACATATCTATTTAATGGCGCCACTAGATGGCGTAGTACCGTTGTCAAATATTAAAATTGTCAAATACTAGATGGCTTTGCTTACATAAGTGTGTTATTAAATGTGTTATCAAACAGGGCAAAATTTTATCAAAATTGATGCGTTAAAAAACATAGAATTTCAAAGTAGATTCTCGACATTTCGAACTGCATAACGCGCAAAATTTGTATAAAGATAAATGCTCATCTGATAGTTTTTAATATATTGTATTTTTGCTTATATGTTTACTTATAGCTTTTATTTATTTTATTTTATATTATTTGTGCAATATTCTTTTGGTTCCTTTTATTATTATTATTTTACATTATAAATTATTTATTTACACTGTTATATTATTTCATAAATTCTATTATAAATTGTTTTTTAGTTTTATCAATGATATATCTATGAAATATGCTATTAATGTTGAATATTATGAATGCAATTTTTATTTTATGAATACTGATAAGGTTTTGGCAGTTTTCCTTATCCTAGCAGCAAATATTGGTATCCTTTTATTGCTTCTGTCAAAAAAGTATTTTATTTTTATATTGTATATTTTGCTTTCGGTTATTTTAGTACCCTTCCTTTCCATCTGCTCCTCAAATATGAAAATATGTATATAATCTAATCTTATCCATTCATATTTCACAACCAAATTATAAAAATTGTTGAAAAATAGTAGGGGTGATTAAGGTACCCCATTTTATTGAAATTTCTACTTTACTGAGACTAAAATTTCCGCGCATGCGCGAAAAAATCTGGCCAATATCTCATCAGTGGTCACTAAAATAATGGAAACATTTGACCTTTACACCTTTATCATCTTGCATACCTTAGTATTTACACCTTTATTATCATACATACCTTTCCTGTCTATTGACAGTCAATAACTAACTCAAACTTATATTTGTTAGCTTTTTTATTAAGACTAAATTAAACAACGGAATTAGTAGGAGTAAAACACAAAGTTAATATTAATACTTTTATTCTTAAATAAAAAATTGGAAACATTTCATACGATCAAAAGAAAAAAATTTGATTTGTGATTAGTTTATACCGACCTCTATGGGTCGATATATTAACATTGAATAAGCTTACAGTAGATAAGGAAGATCACATCATACCTGTATCAAAAAATTGTAAATTTAAAAATTTATTAGTTAGAACTTTATTAATGATGAGACCTCTCCACTGTTATTTCCCTAGAAAAACCTATGATAATCGAAAGTAGACATTTACCAAATGTCAATGATTCTCATTATTTATTTTTCTTTTTTTCACCGTGTATATGACCACCGCTTATTTACTACAATCTTCAATAAAATACAATATTACTTGTGTCATTTTGATAAGTATGTACAATCCACTTTCTAAAATTATTACATATTTCCTAACGTTTATTTGCCAAGGATCAAATATAAAATTCAAAAAAGATTATTATGCAAAATTTGGATGTTTTGGTGTACATTGAAATGTACATTTTTTATAACTTGCATACGTGTTTCGTTAAGACTACGTGTTAACTACGAAATGTTTATAATGAACGCTGCATACATCGTTTTAGTAATCGTCGAGTATGCACTGATTAAATGTGCAAGCCACGTGGAGGCATGTGCAAATGACCCTGGTTGATTGCAGATCTTCGCGATCTTCGTCACGGTTGAAAAAGGTCGGAGTACCAGAAGGGACGGGAAGATTGGTGAAGGACGCTCCTTTCAACCGAGAAACTGACCAGGAGTGGGGAAGTTGGTTACACGTGCGATTTCCTTCCCCTTCTTCCTCTGACCTCCTGTCCTTTTTCTTTTCGATCACGTTGTCAATGCCTCTCTTTTTCCCCTTCTCTCTCCCTTTCTTTCTCTCTCTCGCTCTTAGGATGCTTTTCTGCACGCACTCTCGAATCATTACCCGACCGACCCCTCTTTCTCGTGTTCCTGGAAGGCACCGAGACACGTTTAAACGGATCCGATATACCGTGATTAATACGCTCGTGTCGAGATAATTTTGTATTTTTATTCCAGACATCAGGTCGATATAGTTAATGTAATATTGTTAATAAACACCTTTAGTTCAAACTTTCAGATCCACAAATTTCCAAGTTCTCAAATCTTCACATTCCCAAATTGTCAAAGTTTAAAAAACTGAATTTTTAAACAATAAACATTGTGATCCCTGAAATACTGACAATTTATACTTCACCCGTCTGAGGACTCCATAAAAGCAGAATCTAGAAAATATGTAATGGAATTATTTACACGGCATAGAGTGAAAAACTGTAGTCAAAGGTCAAAGTATATAATATGTAATGAAAGCTAAATTGGCTCGACGTAGGGTATCTCCCTTTTCCGTTTGGTAGGTCGATGTCATAGAACTCGGGTTGAAATATGTTGAAATTCCCGTTGCGCAAGTCGCTGGTGTTTTTAAAACATCAAAACATCCGTGAAGCGTTAGAGAACGAGCGGACAACAAAAACAGAGTTTTTATTTTGACGATTTTAGCGAACTACCGATATTGTCGATTACAGAGAAAATATTCCGTAACGGTGTTTGACGTTAAACGCGTCATCAAACGTATATACCTTCGGGCGACCACGTGCGACTATAGATACTATTGTAAGAGCAATAGAACTCTTTAATACGGTGTTTAAAAATACACATAGAAACGTGCAGCGTTTCCAACGGCACGATTATCGTTCGGCCATAAATTATGTGTTCGTAGTAAGAATGAATTCTTAATACGTTACAAGCAGATGTTTAATTGCAGTAGAAAATAAACGATCAGGTAATACCGTAATAATTCTATTAATTTTCGTTACGACATTTTGTTGGGCACAACTGGATTACCTGTAGTCAAGTTAGGTTGAATATTAACGGTTATCACGTTGGAAATAACCGGAAAACGTGCCGACAGCTGATTACCCAACTCGTGGTAGAAAAGAGAGGTGTTTCCTTTTCGAACGATATATATGCCGCGAACGGATATTTTTCACGTGTTCCAGAATTACTAAATCCCTTCGACGAGGTAGTAGATATGACGTTTGTAACCGGCACCACGTGTCGTCAGCGGAACGTTAATCTTTCGTTTGCTTTGACATAGATTTCGCATCCGATTTAGAAATCATCTGACAGTGTGGGTAACGATTTGTTAGACCGGAAAGTCCCAACACTCTAAAGTTTCACAAACACCCGCGTGACGTAGTGTTATCGTGTGTACATTGGGTGCAGCGAAGATTTCCTACGGTCGAGAACAAATGTACCTCTTTCATTTTATATCATTTGTATTTTTTAAAATTTTCATATTTTTAAATTTACAGATTTAAAAATTAATAAAGTGCGAAACGTATAGAGTTTTTAGTTTAAAGTTTGAGAAAAATATTTCAAAGGAAAATTTCTGCATTCGCAGTTCTCAATTTGCACACCTGCATCGAACGCATGAAAAACTACACCGTCAATTTTTTCTAGAAAAGCCTATCATTGCCTGCCACTATACGGCATAGTTTTCTGTTACTACCATCGCACGTGTTTTCAATTTTTTCAATCCGATAATGCCAGAATAAAATAAAAGTCCATAAAACTAATCAAATTTCCAATTTTAATATTGTTATTGTATACGGTAGCATTCTCAAAAATATTCAGTCCAAAATAAACATACTACGTATCATTCATTTCTCGTGATTTCACGAGGCACAATGTGCTCGTAAGCTAAAACGGAAACACATTTGTTTGTTCGTAGGTTGGTGTCTTATCCGTCATTCTCGTTTTGACGCGACGAAATTCTGTGAAGCACACGCGTCCCGCTTTGCTTTCCCGCGGAACCTTTTGGAAGATCCCATTCGAAGTGGGGATGCACGTGCCGCAGCTTTTGTTATCGAGATTGTCGTAATATCGGAGCTCGAGGCGCGTGCACGAGAGTCGACCGTCTGCGCATGCGCGACCGTGTTGCGCGCAATCCGTGAGTGGGGATAAGATGGCGGTACGGAAACGCCGTTAGTCGTTGCACGGACGCCGGTAAATTTGGATCGTTGTATCGAACTGTCAGATTGAATGGTGTTCGTGACACACACTTTACTAAATAAACGGTTAATGCGCATATCGTGATATGGTTTAAACGCTCGTAATCTTTCTCGATAAATCCGGTTCGTGAGTGTGAAACCGTAAACTTTTCGGAGTGACATTTATGAGAGTTTTCACTGACAACGCTTGTAAACGTGGTTCGAGAGCCGGTTGTCAAGCGAGCTTGAACGTCACGTTGCGAAAGTGATTTTGTAACCGGTCAACGTTTCAACAGTTTCAACTGTTTGCGAAGTGATTGACGCCGTTCCTGTTTTGAAAATCTTGAAACGACATCGTGTACGTGTCCTGTTAATTGGTGAGTTGCTACACGATATTTAATTATACACGACACCTGCATGCGTCCGTGCGATTTATGTAAGCCGATCGCAAACTGTCGTCGAGTCAAAACAGTTGATATTGATTGGGGTTTTGTTGTCTCGTTGGGTTTGCAACGTGAGACAAGAATGCAGGCGTGGTGTACATTCGTTTCTTAGCTTCGTTGCATGAGACTACGACACGCGTTGGACGTAGGCATTGAATTAACGCGGTTCTGTTCAGAATCTGAACAAATATAGCACCAGCGATATCGCCACGTGCGGTCTACTTAAGCGGTCTACTGTTGCAAATAACAATTCTGTGCACGACAATCATTTGTCAATGTGTCTCCAGACGTTAAGCAATAAGCTTGCACGCGCGTGCAGTTCTTCGAGCTTAATTTCAATATCTTTGTGACGGAAAAGATTTAGAGAAAATAGTATACGTCATTCGTGTTGAAAATTATACTTTTGGATTTATTATCATAAATATTTCGGAATTTGCAAATTTAGAGATTCGGAGATTTATAACTTTTAAAATTTAAATATTTAGGGACTTGTAAACTACAAAATTGAGACATTTGGAAATTTGTATTTACGTTCCTTCAAAATTTCATGAAGTTTTTGTTCCGAGTATTGAGTAAAAAATAAATGTAATAAAAATTTGACAATTAGGTTAGATGACAGTAGAAATGCGAAAGTCGGAATCTCGATACTGTTCGAAATATCGCGAACAGATATATCGCGACTAATCCATGAAAGTTTCAATAATTTTAAAGATCACGTTATCGAACAATCGGTCGTTTCGGATCCAATGACACTGTTCAATTGCGTAATCGATAATCAAAGCAGACGATTCTGCTTTGAACTTGACGCAAGTCGCGTCGTCTCGCACGAGCTAGTATTCTGAAAGGCTAAGCCCACGCCTGATTTCACTTAAGCACTTATTTTAGAGCTGGGACTTGTAAAATGTGCGTCGATATATACATACGTACAGACATACATATGTAGCTGCGTGATCGCACGTGGACGACATTTACACGTGGAAGACAACGAGGGCTGAAATGGGTACTTACGGGAAGGTCAACGAGAATTTCAATACGAGACCTGTAGCGATGCCATCAAGTTCAATATGCACACTCGTGAGTGTGGTAGGCTTCCTTAGGGAAAATGGCGGTACACTCGAAACGGGCCCGTCATTTTTAAAATATTCGATTTTTAATTTCCGAAATTTACAAATTTTCGAATTTAAAAATTTAGGATTCTTAGTATTCAGCAATTTGGAGTTTAGTAATTTGAAGGTTTGGAAAGTTAGAATACTTGAAAATTGAGAAATAAAGATTTTGGAATATGGACGTTTCGAAATTTTAGAATGTCGAATTTAGTAATTATACAAAATTAGAAATTTGAGAATTTAGAAATAAGTTATATTTTTCAAAACGGATGTCAGGTGGTGTCCCTTTCCGTACACTTCCCCTAAGCTAAATGAAGCCTAAATTGGACTCACGTGTACATACAGATTCAAATTAGTTTGAACATATCCCATTAGTACATAATGAGTACCGTCGTATTAAGGTACATAATAGAAGCCATTATAGTGTACAATAACTATCATCTTCTCGAATTAGTAAGTGCAAACCAATTTTGCAGCGTGTACTTAAAAGCTTGATTAATGCATGCCTGTATACACGTAGTTACATAAAAGTGATAATGTTCACTGTTATTTTGTAATCATCATATACATACCGTGACCTGTATAATAAAATAATTTTCACTCTAGTTATACTTTTTATCTTAATTTCTTTTTAACCGACTTCGAAAAAGGAGGAGGTTACTCAATTCGATCAGTTTATTTTTTTTTTATTATTATTAATTTTTTTTTCATCACACTGTCGGAATCATAATTCATTGAACATTAATATTTAAAAGTTATCACCGTTGCATTAAATCACCCGGTTGACGTTTGACGTTGAGTCACTTGTACCGAGGTACACGTGTACGTTCCTGGAACTATATCACGAGTTAAATGATTTGCATTCGAGTTAATTTTAATGCCAATTTATGGAGTATCCTGTGACTCGGCGCGGGAAAGCGTCTGTTAACTTAGTTTATTTTGATTGTGGTATAACTATAATCGTGTAGAATTTTCGACTTACAAATTGGCACGTATCCATACACGTGTACGATTTATGGATTTGATTGCGATATCGACAGTGCTTATTGCAGAATTATTTCAGAATTATACTTTCAATTTGTTTTATCTTGTTACAAGAAATTAATAATTTAATAGTAATTTTTAAACACGTATTTTTTAAAAATAATTTTCTATTTGAACACTTTAAAATTCAGCGTATAAAAAATGAAAAAAAAAATGAAGAGGACCCAAGGCGGGGATTCGAACTGGGGTTCTTAACGTTATTAGTCTGGTGTTTTATCAACTATCTACAGTAATAAAGATTCGTGTAACATGCATTCTAATCTATATATTATATATATATTATTTTACAAAAATTTATATAATATGTAATTATATACAAATTATTGTAATATTTTTAATTATGTTTATGTATATTTCATAAATATTATGTATATATATATCATAAAAATTGACTAAAAACGTTATTAAAAGAATAAAAATTGTTATAACAAGATTGTTAAGAAAAATGAATATTTTTTTTCCACAATGTGTATACATAAACAATTATCTAACAACCATTTGTAGCAATATCAAATAATCCAACAGCGATGATATGTTTTGATCGATGAATGTAAAACAAAGTACAAAATACGTTAGTGCATGATAGGATTATTGATTTTTAAGATGTTGCCACCGTATTGTAAATAAAATATACGTGAATCGTGCAAACGCACGTGACAGAGGACGTGCGATCGCGAATTGTGATCAACGTGAGGCAACATGTAACCACTCTGTTGGATATCACACGCAAAGTTGAACAAGAACTCGTTCTTTCGTTTTAATTTCGTTAAGTGCTCGTACCACGTAACTGACGACGGTTTCGCGTCACGTGTACACCGTCTGCTTAACCGGAAATTCGGTCACGTTTAATTCCCGTACCGTTGGTCCCGTGTGATTAAGCCGATTTCCAACCGCGAAAAAATGGATTTCGTGTTCTGACTTGGGTGATTTCGTGTATTAGTGGGAATGGTCTGTATAAGGAAAAATGACGATATAAAGGAAATAGCTTTCATTCCTATCGTTCGATTCTAGGCTGCCAATTTTTAGATTTGTAAATTGGGAAATGGGTGATTTAAAAAAGTTGGGCTTTTGGAGATTGAAGAGTTTAGGATATTAGAATATTTTGAGATTTGAGAATTTTCAAATTGGCGATTTGTAAAAATTTGTAATTGTGAATTGGAAATTTGGAATTTTTAATGTTGGGATTTCGAAATTTTGGAATCTAGGCTTTTGAAATTTAAAAATTTGGAATTTGGCATTTCAAAATTTTGAAATTTGGAAGTTCGGAATTTTGGAGTCTAGGATTTTGAAATTTGAAATTTTTGAATTTGGAATTTTGAAATTTTTGATTTTGGGATTTCGATATTTTGAAATTTATGATTTGGGATTTCGAAATTTTGAAATTTGGAATTTTTGATTTTGGGATTTTGGAATTTCGAAATTTTGAAATTTGGGATTTTGGGATTTCGAAATTTTGAAATTTAGATTTTGGGATTTCGATACTTTGAAATTTGGAATTTGGGATTTCAAAATTTGGAATTTGGAATTTCGAAATTTTGATTTTGGGATTTCGAAATTTTGAAGTTTGGAATTTTTGATTTTGGGATTTCGAAATATTGAAATTTGGAATTTTCGATTTTGGGATTTTGGAATTTGGGATTTCGTAATTTTGAAATTTGACAATTTTGGAATGTTAGTATTTCCAATTTCAAATATTATGAATATTTTTTAATTTGCATATTTAGAAATTTGTATAATTGTGAGACTCGAAAATTAAAAATTTTCATATATATTGGACCTCTACCGCGGATATAAAATAATAGGATTTCTCATAGTAATTCTTCCTCGAAAAAGTCTATCAATTGAATTGTACTCGTAATTCAGCCTCACGTGGTATCCATCACGTTGTTGGTTGGTATCTCGCGTCAGACGATTGAACGTATCACACGGACTCGTATTAACATGTGATCCCCAAATGATTCGCAAATTTTTTTTTTATTACCACGTAAATCATCGAAACTCAAAATAATTTTCTACGTTGTACTGTTCGATGTATAAGTCTTCGTTTCCACGCGTTGTCACTAGAAGATAGAAATAACTCGAAACAGAGATCAACCGATAAAAGTTTTATCGCTACACATTAGTTTTTTTCATTGTAAAATCTATTCTTACTAAGCGTAACACTTACGAACTTCCTGGAAGTTACTTTTTAAAAAGAAAAAGACAAAAATAAAAGATAGTGGGAGGTATCATGAAGTGCCACATGCGGACGTATTTCTTCATCCGCGTTATCGGACAGAGAAATTATTATCTATATCTTAACGCACACACGGATTGACGTATTCTTAAAATGTAATTGCTTTCATTCATGTTGCTAAGAGGCCACGTGTATCCGTGTTGTCAACAAATCGACGTTTCAAGTATCTTTTCAATTAAACGAACTGTAACGTTTAACTCTGCTAATTGTATGATTTACTTGAAAATATTAAAAATCCAATGTAAATTCATGACATAAAAGTTTCTCGAAATTCCACTTATTGTATATAAATTTAAAGCTTGAAGTTTATCGAGCGTAACAGTATAACTGCCCTGTTAATATTCTATATAGAAAATATTCGCTTTCAATTCTAACAAACATTGTTATTAGACTGTACTAAATAAGCATATTAAAATTGTGAAAAGTGAAAGACAAATTCATGACATAAAAGTATCACAAAACGACCTTCATAAAAAATCAATTTAAAGCTGAAAGTTTGCAGAAAACGAGTACGTAAGCGTTTCAGCGATACTCTTAATACGAAATGA